GCACTCAGGCACATCCATTTCTTGTGCTGACTGATGGTCAAAAACACATGTCACCTAAAGATATTATTGCTGTTTCATATATATATATATATCTGTTTTTGACTATTGAATTGCTTACAACATTTGTAAAAAGGCCAAGGATCAATAAAAAGATTTCAAATAAAATATATTTTTGTTTTAAGTTGTATGTTTCATGCATTGAAGTTGAAAATTCACATTCTTATTTTCTATTTTTAGATATGCAAATGAGATAATTTGCATATACACCAATTAATTTTAACGATATTGTGAAAATCATGAACTTCAATCTATATCCTTCAAATAGATATGTTATTTCATGGGGTTCAGAATAACAGAAATGTGTCAAAAAAATTAAATAAAGTAATAACCAAAAAAAACTGAAAAAATGCTCCATGTTTTTGGCCAGACATCTGAAAAACTTCCCGTGCTAAAAGGGTTAATCACTACCAAAATAATTCTGGCACAGTCCTCACCACAACCCTCTCTTAATTCAAACAATAACCGTTATTATCTTTGTTGAAGTCAAGGCAAAGTCAAATTTTTTTCCTCAAGGTTGAGTTTCATAGCAATCAAAATCTTGAATGGAGAAGCTACATGCCAATCTTTGAACCGAGTAACTGGACCCAATAAGGCATCCTAATCTTGGAATAACATCTTCTTCTATAGCCCAAGCCACGTGGCAACAACTGTCATGTTTGTATACAACCTTTCTTCCCTGCCAATCATTCTTCTGTGCCTTAATGCCAAACCATCTAGCCTCTTCTCTCACAGTCTTCCTCTGTCATTCATTCCCTCCAACTTTCCTACTGTCACAAAGTACTAAAGATTTCCCGCTCATAGAATGTTGTATGGCTTCTTCTGGTAGAAGTACCCAATTCTCTCCAGGAGTTCAGCTCTTTCAAGATATGTTTATTCTGTTTCTTATATGCCCCCAGTGTTTTTATACAGAGGGGCAGATAACAGAGAGACCAAAAAATGTATTTTAAAAAAAACTGTTGGAAGAAGACCACAAAGCAGACCAAGAAGACAATAGAGAGAATACACAGACAGACCTACAGACACTTGCAGTCACCAACTGGAACAAGAAGGCCAATTAGAGTTGAATGCTGGTGGGAGATTTCTGCGGTATTGAACCTCAAGGGCTCAGAATGCTGAACAATAAGATAAATAATTCTTCTAAAAAACTACATCCCTACAGCTTCCATATAATTTCTTACTGATCTGTTCACTATCCATGACTAACCTATGTGCATCTGTATTGATCAGAACATCAAAAATGATGTGCACTGCACTCATAAACTGGATGTGAGGAGTACAACTTATCTGTGTTCCTAACCATCATTTTGAGTCTCCTCCCACAAGTTCTCACTCACCTATACCCAAACACACACATATACACACACAGATCACCCTCGTATGCACACACACAAACATACCCAGTCTGTCTCTCTCATCAATATAAAAATTGCAATCATAATCTAACTGCTGTGACAGCTGAATGAACAAACTAACACCTAATGGATGCAAAACTACCGAGTGTTTTCTTTGGTCATGGGTCTTCTGTCTTCTTTTTTCTTTTGTTGTTGTCTCACTGTTACCAGGTTGCAGCCCAGTGTCATAGTTTTCTATATTTGTCTTGCACTTCTCGGGTGGCTTGAGTGATGGATTTGTTCAACTTTTTGCAGGTTTCATCTACACCATTTATCTCTGTCTTTCTTGGTCTTCCTCTCACCTTCCTCCCAGATGTTCTACTGTAAAAAGTCTCATATGCTATCTGGTCTCGCTGCATTCTCACTAGATGGTCGAACTATTTCATTCTTTGTCTGTCAATATAATCCAGACATGGTCTTATTCCAGTTTTCTCTCTAATGCTGGTATTTGTAACTTTGTCTTGTATAGTCTTGTTAGTGACCTTGCGGAGACAGTGCATTTCACATGTAGTTATTTTCTGTTCTAATGCCCTATTCATTCATGGGTCATGGTCAGATCCAAAACATAATACATTGTTGCAGCAGCCTCAAATTCTCCTACAAGTGCTAAAATAGCTGAATGATGCTAGATATGCACAAATTCTCCCAATAGTAAACATTAACTAAAGGCTTAAACAGCCAAATGTTGCTAAACATGCATAAATTCAACTGGTTAACATTAACTAAGGGTTAAAACAGCTAAATGATGCTAATCATAGTCTAATGCTTCTTTAAACAAAAAAAATTACTATCTACAGTAGAAGAGTTGAATGATATTAAACATCCTCAAATTACCCTAATCATAAATACTGAATGCTAAAACAGCGTATCATCATCAGATTTACAGAACATGGTACTCATCACAAAGCACCAGACAGCCATTCTGTTCCCTGACAAACTTTGCTGCCTCATAAACTTTTATGACCAGAGTGACTTTAATATCCTGAGTTCAGCATCATGCTGGTCGTCCCTGGGTCTTTCACAAAGAACTATAGCCTCCATTACTGTTCCGTCCAAATCATTATGGCATTTGTTTTTCTTCTTTTTCCCATTCCCTGGCTGTAAACTCTGGTGGAAAGTTCTGGCTGTTCCTCCACTTCTGGATTCCAGACCTGTTCCAGAACATGAGAGTTTAATATGGCCTAAGTATTTCAGTTTTTCAGTTATGAGTTAAGAACTAACTTCATAGCACTCAGGACATTCCCATCAGCACTCTGTCCCTAACTTCAGCAGTAAGTGAAGAATACCAATTCTGATTGTACCAGTAACAGTGGGACTGTATGTCCGTCTTGTCCCTCCTCTAAGTGTTCAGCATGGGCCAGATCCCCTGAACACTCCTCGCAGCACCATTCTCTTCAGACCGTGATGAGCTGTTTGGTCCTTCACACAGTTAACATGCACCCAAAGGGCCCTAACAACACCCAGCTTGTCAAGCATCAGTTTTCCACCAAGTGGTGCAGAGCTAGGAAATCTATCTGCTTGTTCATTTTTCAAAACATTACCACAACTTGGAGAAAATATCCAAAGGTTTATGAGAAACGGCAACGTTTGTTAGCTAGTACTTTTCAATATTCAGACTGTTTAGAATGTCAGTATGTTTCTTTTTTCTTGATCCATGATATGATGAAATAGCTGATTACCTGGAAAAAACAACTGAAAAGTGCTAAAAACGCCAGATTCATCTAGTTCATTAAAACTGCCAATTTGTACATTATTTGTTCTGTACCAAACAGAGCAAACTGCATTTATTTTATACTTTGCATACAATGTCATTTCCTAATTCCTTCTGTTTTACTCCTATTTTTCCAGCTGTTAGCTCCCGGTGTGGATTCGGGGGGCCATATTGGGGGGGGGGGGGAGGAGGAGAGATATAAAAAGATCCACAGCTCCTTAAGTTGTAAAAGATGACTAATTTGGGATGTGCTAACATGTTGGGCCAAAAAATGCAGATATCACAGCTCAACTGTAAACCACAACATAATGTGCCGGCCACCCTTTTAAGGCTGAATAGATTAACTGTCATTCTCCCACTTTTCGACCATTACTTTAGCTTCTTCCACTCCAAAGTGATTATAAAAAATAACTGCTTCTGTATCATTTACAGGACATTGCAAAAACCAACCCCAGCAACCTGGGCTGTTTGTAATTTCACTAGGACATTTAACTTTCACCAGTTTGCCACTGCTTTCTAAACAGTCGGCTTTTGATAAAACTGTTGAAACTAACATAAGGCGGTCTGCTGTCAAATAGCCTGCAGCTGGGATCAAACCGGCACTTCTGAGTTACTAAGCGCACTCGCAACACCTAAGCCACAGACACAAGGTTAGTTGCATATCCTCTAAAGCAGCAGTTAAACAAAACAAAAAATTTCAAATCATGACTATATTTTATAGAGGCAAAGTGACTCGCAACCCTTAAACATTAAAGAAAGGTTCTTTAACAGGGTAAATGAGAACACATTGACAATAGATTTTGATTTTCCTTTTTAAAACTTCCAATAGGTCACCGCCTCATGACCCAACAGAAACCCCAAACTGGGTCGTTCTAGCCACTTGGATTTACAAAGCAATATGACTCTCATAAGACGGCCATTGCCTCTAAACAGTAGGCTACCGGTACCATGTGATTACACCTCCTTCAAATATAGAAGTGTATGCTTTTAAAGCAGTAACTGCTGAAGGGTAGAAATCATGACAGTAATAACTATCGGGAGCAGAAATCATGACAGTAATAACTATCTGAAGCAGAGATCATGGCAATAATAACTATCTGAAGCAGAAATCATGACAGTAATAACTATCTGAAGCAGAAATCATGACAGTAATAAATATCTGGAGCAGAAATCATGACAGTAATAACTATCTGGAGCAGGAAATAGAGTAATAACTATCTGAAGCAGAAATCATGACAGTAATAACTATCTGAAGCAGAAATCATGACAGTAATAAATATCTGGAGCAGAAATCATGACAGTAAGAACTAACTGGAGCAGGAAATAGAGTAATAACTATCTGGAACAGAAAATAGAGTAATAACTATCTGGAACAGGAATTATGGGAGTAATAAATATCTGGAACAACAAATAGAGTAATAACTATCTGGAGCAGAAATCATGACAGTAAGAACTAACTGGAGCAGGAAATAGAGTAATAACTATCTGGAACAGGAATTATGGGAGTAATAAATATCTGGAACAAGAAATAGAGTAATAACTATCTGGAACAGGAAATAGAATAATAACTAAATGGAACAGGAATTATGGGAGTAATAACTATCTGGAACAGGAAATAGAATAATAACTATATGGAACAGGAAATAGAATAATAACTATATGGAACAGGAATTATGGGAGTAATAAATATCTGGAACAGGAAATAGAGTAAAAACTATATGGGACAGGAATTATGAGAGTAATAACTATCTGTAACAAAAGCTATTGTAAGCAGAGCCATCTCAGACATGAATATTTTGAAACAGCAGACCAGGCAACAAAGGGTGAGACATGAAGTGCTAAGACTTATAGATTTTAATGACATCCACTATTGCTTGGCGACAGATCGGACATAATCCCTTCTCGCTGCGAATTGTCATGGCACATTCAAAGCACAAACACATGTGGCCGCAGGTGTAGAGAACACAGTTTATCACACGTTCCCAGCAGACTTTGCAGTCAGCGGCGCCCTCTTCCAGTGGACCTTGCGAAGTGGGGGAAAGAGGTGTGGCGGGAAGCGAAGTGGGGTGAGTCATGCGGTGATTTTCTGCACATTCCGAGGCAGCAGATGACAGGCATGACACTGGGACGCTGTTGCTGCGGAGCACATGTGTGGGCATGGATGCTGGTGCCGCACTTCCTCCCACAGGTAAAGCAACAGTAAGAACAGAAGTTCCATAGAGGGCGCCTCCAAAGTTACTACCAGGGACGCCCACTCCGGCCGGGATACTGCTGTAGCCAGTTAGAGACTGCGATCGGGGCAGACGGCCTTGAATTGGAGCCAGCGTGGTTCCTGTAAAAGAATAACCGTATGATCAACATTTTATGAAGCCATTTCCAGTAACACATAATGAACAGTATGTTCAAAGAAGCCACACTGTTCTGAAACATCCTACTCCACCCATACACTAGCTGGACTGACAGGCATGCATCATCATACAGGACCTTCATTTGCTATTTCTTTAGCTTTAATCCCTTTCCAGATCATAAAATGGATAACAGAACACTGCTCCTCTTTGGTGCAGATCAAAACTACTATAAACTGTCAGAATGACATTACTGTATTTGTCGGGACAGTAATGACTATCACACTTTTGAGGCCTTTTGGCCCAATACATCCAATTTCAGCAAACCGCTAATCAGTCATCTTTTAGGACATGCTTGGAAAAGGAGGTGGAAGCAGTTGATATTACCCCCCCCCCCCCCCCCCACACACACACATATACCCTTTTCCGGAATCCACATGAAAGGTTTTCATAAACAATTAATTAGGTTGCTTTACAATGAGGTGCTATGACTAGAACGTTGTTTCTCCTTCCTATGCTACAAGAGTGGGTCTTCACTACATCAGAATCCAGCGACTGCTAAGAATTTAACCCCATGCGTTGGTCAGCAAGAGTGCTATATAAAGCACAAACTCCACAGCTCTAGCGATGATCCACAGGGGTCTCTGTAAAAACTGCAATCATGAACTGACCTATGCATCCATGATAGGAAACCATGGCTTGACCACTCAGCCACAGACACCCTCTAGCATGATGTTGACAACATCATACATAAAGTATCATTTGATCCTTGGGAAAATGGGTCTAGCACTATATACCCACCACCCCGATGGCATTAATCCCTTTGGAGACGGAGCCTTTTTTAGAGTTTCGGTGCCAAGAAGACAGAGCCTTCAGGAGAGAATTCTCATAGTTCATACACACAAAAATTATAAAAAATAAAGCGTTTAATTAACATAATTAACTATATATATTCGTGTAGGAAATTGAATGAACCAACAGAATATTTATGAATCAAACTGAAATCTCAGCATTTATTCAAATTAACTATTCTGATCTGCATAATTTATGCAAGCAATTTTTATAAAACTTGGAAACAAACAAAACTAACCTACACAATTTGGGTTAGTTTTGTTATGAATGAAGCTTGAATAAGTCCTAACACCTTCATTTTGGGAAGTAAGGCCCTTGAGACACATCTGGCACAGGGTTCTACTCATTTTCCTGCCTCCAGCCATGCTTTAGTTGCTATGATGCAACAGTTTTTCGCCATTTCTTGGACACAGGTAACCCCAGAAAAAAACTGATGTAAAATCACAGAGCACATCGAACTTTCTTGAAAGCCATCAATAAACAGCCCACATGTGCAAGAAATGCGAGAAGCAGTCTGATTGGCTGGTGTGAAAACCTGCCAGCCAATATCAAGGCTTTTATTATACAGGACCGACCAATCGGCCCAGCCGTACTTTGCGTTGGGTCTACATTTCCGCCGTGTCGTCTCTAGAGGGTTAAAAAAGAAGGCGTCCTATTACACCATAACTATAAACATCTTATGTATGTACACACGTGTATTCATGCGTGTGTGAATGTATGTATGTGTGTGTGTGTGTGTATGTGTGCATGTCATGTATGTATGTATGTATGTATGTATGTATGTATGTATGTATGTATGTATGTATGTATGTATGTATGTATGTATGTATGTATGTATGTATGTATGTATGTATGTATGTATGTATGTATGTATGGTGTGCGCGCACATGCTTGCATCTGTATGTGTATGTATGTATGTGTGTATGTATGTATACATTACCATGCTTTTTATTTTTAACTCTAAATTTTTAAAAAACATAACACACTTTATAGATAAAATACAGCTGCTGTGTGAAAGATGAGTGTCTGGAAAAGGCTGAATCTATGACAAGGCCTGCATGCCCAATTTGTGACCCTCTGAAAATAATGTGTGTTTGTTCATTCCTTTGTTTTCATCAGGCCACAAATTTTCCCCTAAAGCCAAGTCACCACAAGAAATATCCTAGCACTTCACAACATTGCCACATATAAACTCACCTAAAAGTTTGATCTGCTGAATATTGCCATAAACATCAAAGAAGGCCCACAGAGGGAGTGTCCTATCTACATGCATCAGGGTCACCGGTGCTTGATTGTTTCTGGCGTACCTAACTTCACCTTTGAGAAACAGATAATATACACCTTAGAACCACATCACAAGAGGGGTGATAACATAAAAATATACCACACGCAATGACATTACTCTTCTTCTTCATGTTCACCGGCTTTAAACTCAGCAGGAAAGTTCTTCGAAGGAGACATCCCATAATTAGTTGACTTTTAGTCTTGCTTGTTGTTGAATGCTTTATTTACTTTTACTCGACCAAAGAAAATATAAATGCAAATTCAAATACTAATTAACTACTCCCCACCTCACACTAACTCTTTCAGTAAAAGTAAGAGCAATGAACCCTTCTCACACCTCAGTGGCTTACTGTGCATACAGTGCTATACTCATATTTTTGAAGTGCCACAGTCAATATCTGCAGACTGCCTTTACTTCCCAGGACTCTGTCATCCATTTCAGGCTGGTTTGACCTGAAAGACAAGGTCAATTTCATTTTTAATCTTCCACTCTATGTGGATTCAAACTCAAGATCTTCAGGTTGGCAGGCCAATGTCTAACTGAATGCTACTGTGTATTCTCAATGTTGTCAGCATCAAGCAGATTTTACTTTTAGTTCATTCTATTCTAAGGAGCGACATCACTGCACTCAGGATATTCCCATATGTGCTCCATCCCCATCTTCAGCAGGCCAAAGAAGAATTCCCACACTGACAGTGCCAGTTGCAACCTGATTAAAAGTTTGAAAATATAACTTTACGTAATCAATTTTTGGGTCTGATGAATAACAATTCTGACCACTGTGCAAAAACAGGTTAAAGTAACACTTGAATCCATTTGATTTTGAAAACAAACAGAATAAAATTTTGGTCATGTTCAACCTGTTCCCAGTCAAGTGCTGGCTATAGTGAAGACCATAAATGCCAGTAGCGGTTGTCAGTTTTTTCTTCTTTGCTGCATTTAGTCATGGCTGAAAGTAACATTCAGGGCGGTGAGGGTTAATATGGCAGCTGGATGCACCACAAGGGTGCAGGAAAGTAGATCATGTCAGTTTGTCACCAACAAAAAGATGCTGTGTTGCTGGGCACTGTCATTACTGATCCTCTTGTGTGTTTCAGGAGCCCCATTGTGGGGAAAAAGCAAGAATAGACCCACTGCCTTTCCAACAGCATGTTGTAAGAATCAACTAAATGGGAGCTTCCTTCGTAGTCAGAATATATCTGCCAGAGAGGCAAGAAACCAAGAGTTTGCATGCTCAGTTTCTGAAACAGGACTAAAGTTCAGAAGTGGACGACCAACCAGAACTTTTCACTGGGGTTTACAGCTAGGGAACGTGAAGAAGAAGATAACCGCCGGTATTTACCACTTTTAGGACAAGGAGGGTGGGTGAGCCTGAGAATTTCAGGTCTCATGGTTAGTGCAGTTCCCATGAAATGTGCAGCTAATGATTTTTGGGTCTGCACACCCCCCCCCCCCCCCCTACCTCCCTCCCAATCCCACCAACCCCCACAGAAATTAATCTTCATCCTTTATGGAGGATTACATCCCTGTCTCCCCAGTGAGAACACAGCCCTCTAAACACTCAGTCAGCTGCTCTTCTGCCTGATACCGAAGGAGTTAAATCAACAATGTCGGTAAGACCCACACACAGGACAGTGCATGAGGCAGGACAGCTGATGATGATGATGATGATCTATGCTATCAATGCCAAACGTGGACACTTACATCCTCCAATGAACGTAAAATTGTGACAACAGAGATGAAATTCCTTAGAAGAGCTGCAGGAGTTTCAAGGAAAGACAGAATACGAAATCATGAAATCAGACGAATGCTAGGAATAAAGCCAGTCTTACAGGTCATCAAAGAACAACAAATGAAGTGGTTTTGACACCTAACAAGAATGCCCTGCTACTATCCGCCACAGCGAGCCACACTAAAATGTTACAACGGGTATAGAGCGAGTGGAAGACCTCGGAAAATATGGAGTGATGGCATTAAGAACTGCCTTACAGAAATGAACATCAGTCTTAATAGTGTTCTTGACAGAGCCCATCACTGAACATTACATCTCCCCCGACACTTCGATGAGGTACAAGGTGGAAGAGAAGAAGAAGAAGAAGATGATGATGTTGTCTATGACGTGATCAAATGATTCCACCTCTGAACACACCAAGTGTGTCAAGTGTGCAAGGCTTTCATTAACAAGTTGATCTTGTGTGCACATACTGACACACCTCATCGCATCACTGAACTCCACAAGTCAGTCTTCCATGTTTAAAGAAGTTACTTGAATGTCCCTTACAGGTTGTCATAAACCAACTCTAGCATTTGTTGGTTGCTTGTGGCTTAAACAGACAGTTTTATGCTTACTGAACAGTTGTGGCTCCACACCACTTCTGATATTAACACAAATCAGTAATCTAATATTTTAAAAACAAATAATATTGACATACTTTTTGTTGTTGTTATTTTACTCACCTGTTAGGTAACACAACAAATTTTAAAGTGTCGTGGTGAAAGAGTTTTATGTTCAGCAGTTTGTCACTGCTTACTGAACAGTTTATGCTCCTCCACACCACTGCTGGTATTAACACATTCTGTCAAATACTGAATCTGAGTGTTGCGGGCACGTCCATTTAAAACATGTGGCTTATTTGTATGCAGACTCCTGGAACCTTGCCTATCAGAAAGACCTACTCCAGCTTCGAAGGATGACCTCAATTAGTCGACACCTACAACACGTTTGAAGGAGAGGCAGTGGGTCTATTCTTGTTCCCCCCCCCCCCCCCCCCCAACTGGGTCCTGGAACCTAGAGGGGAACAGATTGCAGAATGAGAATGCCAGATCTGCTTAGTTGCCACTTACAACACTCATTGCGAAGCTACAAAATTATTATTATTATTTGCTTTCCAATGGACCCCAGTAACAAATAAACAATTCTGTAGGGAAATACTGAAGGCAGGTGAGCATGTGGTAGACAGTGATACAAGTGGGATGATAATGTCACAGACAGATGAAAAGCAGTCTGAGAGTGCATACAACATAGGTATGAGACAAAGAGTGTTGGAGGTCCATGACAGCTGACCTTCACTGTGAAGGTGTCACCTACTTAATCGACTGAACATACAGGCTGACAGCTGGCATCCATTTCTTTAGGTTGGGTTTAACCAGGATCCATGAGGTATCTGAACACCTGATCAATGGATGAGTGGGCGACTGCACTAGCTACAGTGTCTCATATTGTAGAAATGCTCAAAGTTAAACCAAACATTCAAAACAGACAAACCATTCTCCAAGATGTGAAAGCTCAGCTCATCTCCAACTTCAGGGTTGCGACAGACATCTTTGTTGACCACCCAGTACTCCAGCCGGTCAAGCAGGAGATCAGAATCATCAGGCAGACTGTTGGGATCGACAGTGGCAGGGTCACAGGCTGTCAACCCAAAGCCTAGGCCGCCAATAAATGATCTGTCAACGCTCAGTACCTGTTAGCAGTCAATATACAATTATTAATATAAAACAGCGGTAAATGGAATACATTTAAAATGTCTATCCCTCTTTCTTTATCTTTTCTGGCACTTGGAAATGGCTTAGCCGTAGTCTTGGTTTAGTCAAGATTTCAGCTTCACTTTAATCGAGTAACCCCAGACACATTTCCTTCCTGTGGCAGTGCAAATCAAAGGAAATGTCCATCACTGTCACATCTTTAAAAAAAACTAGTGAACAAACAATTGGCCTGGAACAATCCAGAAATATGCACACGCAGCAAATTCACATTTCAGCTGCTAGAGGCACCAAATGCAGTCCTTTGTTGGTGGAAGTAGTTGGTACTACAAGTTGGCTATTCACACGTAGAATTACTACATAAGGTATTCCAGCAGCTCATACGAAAACTGGCTACCAACCATGCTGAACACCAAGATAGAACCGCTGCACAAATGAAAGGCATCACACAGGGAAATCACAGCTCACAGGGCTGCAACCAAGCACTAAACTCAGTAGCTCAGGCAGTAAAAGTGTACACTACCATCCACATGTGGACAATGCACCAGCAAAGCGCAGTCTGAAGCAAAAATAACCCTGAAACGTAACATTCTGCCATGCCTCCACCATTTTGAGCCGCAAGTCCCAGGAACTGGCTTACATATACAATGCTTCTTAATGAACTGCTCTATATTCTGCCGGGAACTACAGCAGTCTGACATTCACTGTTATTTCATCAGACCAGAGGATATACGAGGGGAAGTCAATAAGTAAGTCACAAATTGTTGTTAAAAAAATAAAGGCTATAACAACTTGAAAACCATTTATTTTTACACACACACAGTGATTTTATTTTTCAACATAATTTCCACCAACATTGATGCACTTGTCCCATCAGGCCTCCCAAACTTGCTGCGTAGAACTGCATGCTCTATTTTCTAAACCACATTTTCACTTAACATTTAACTTCTATGTCATTTGTGAAATATCTATGCAAAGGTTGGTTTTCAGTGAACCAAACAGGTGGAAATCGCTAGTAAGGTGGATGTTCCAGAAGTTTCCACCCTAGATGGTTAATTTTCTCCTGAGTTAACCAAGTCATATGTAGTCTAGCATTGTCATGAAGGAGCAGTTATTCTTTAGACAGCAGGTCTGGACGTTTTCTTCAAATTGCATCATAAAGCATTGATAGAATTAGACAGTATGAATCAGAATTCACATTGTCACCTTTTTTTTTTTTTTTTAAACTGGTTAAAAAGCACTCCTTGACAATTCCAGAACACTGTCAGCAGAAGTTAAATGTGAAGTAAAAATGTGGTTTAGAAAACAGAGCACACAGTTCAAGCAGCAGGTTTAGGAGGACTGATAAAACAATGGGTTAGTGAAAATTATGTTGAAAACATAACAGTGTATGTGGACAAATTAACGGTTTTCAAGTTGTTACTGTCTTTAGTTTTCTTAAAACAACCAATTGTGACTTACTTATTGACTTACCCTCATACCTTTCTAATCTTGGTGCAATTATTTATTTTGTGCCCTACAATTTGAGGTGAAGAATGAGTGCAGATCGACAAAGTAGAAATAACAACTGAAACACATGCAAAAACAACAATGGCCTTGAAATCTTGTGCACTTTCTATTAAAGACTTTCCAAAGGCAATCTGGTCTTGCTAGTTTCACTCACCATCTCCAGGGGTTGTGGTTCCCATGCTTTACAATAGCACAATGTAATAATATTGTTTGAAAAGGCTGAGATGTTTCCTACACTTGCAGACGAAGCTATTATTTTATGCTGCATACAGATCATGCAGTACATAAGATATGACGAACATCATCAACGTTATTTTCAATGACTAAAGCAGCCATAAGAAGAATCCTATGCACAAGCCTTTAGGGAAAGAAGGGTGGGGAAGGTTGGATGCCATGAAAAAAAAAAACTACAACAACCCTGTGACAAGTGGAAGTAGGAAGACTAATAGCTTGAGATTTTGCATCACAGCATTTCAAGCAGGTGAGCACATCCTGGCTCGGCTAACTATCATCTGTTAAACTGTAACCCTCAGAGACACAAAGTAGATACTGATAAAAGAAAGAAGGAAATAGGGAGAGCTGTTACTGTGGGGTCAGGATTCTTCTTAATTTAGTTCTTGATAAATACTTCGGTCAAAACATTCACTTATATCAAAGTATGTGCTTTTCTTTTCCAAACTGTTGAGCTTCTCAGTCACAACTGGTGATTAGTCTGATTGCATCTTCTGCCTGAGCCATCCATGACTTCCCTCTTATCAGCCACTGACCCTTAACTGCACCCAGAGCTTCGGGCAAAGGGTGGTCTGTGTCTGCAGCTACCCTGAGATATGACTTCGCATGCAGCACCTTGTGCCTACCTGCAACAGTCGGTAAACCAAGGATGTATCGCATACACACCACTGGGGAGTCTCTGGTGCAACCCATAATGACCTGCATTGCTGTGTTCTGTATGCGCTCTAGTTTGTCCATCTGGCTCTTTGAGACGGTAAGCATTCCCAAGCCATAATCAACCACTGACAGGATCAGGTGCTGATATAGTGTGAAAAGCATTCTCTGCTCTATGTCAATTGCAGCCATAGTCTTAAATAATTAAATCAAATCATTTCTTGATATCAGCCCACCTGCAGTCACACCTATTTTAAAAAGCAGATCATACATAAAATCTCTTAGGAAGTCTCTGTACATTGCAATAAACACACTCACCTGAATGACTATTGTTTCCCCAAAACGAACAGGCCTGGCTGTGAATACAAAAGCATTGCAGTACTCATCTGCAAGCCTTATGGCAATGGAACGATCTGAGTTGACTCTGACATGCCGCCCCAGCAGGCGATGAAACTGGAGAGGGTTAAGTGTAACACCTGCATGCCACTGTATCGCTGGGGGAGCTGGCACAGTCTGGGGGGAACTTGGGGTGGTGTTCAGAGATAAAGCTGAGAAATTAAAGAGGTCTGAATCCATAGGAAGTGGGCTGGCATCAAATTGAGAAGCATTTGCTGGAGGTTCAATTTCTGAAAAGTAGGAACAAAAGGCAGTAAGTCCCCAAGTGTGTAATTTCTTCTTTTTACTTGTTTTTTTTATTTTTTATTTTTTTTTTTCTTCTCTGTTTGCATTTAAAAGGTTGGTAGGCACATTATGTTAGTGGTTTACAGCCAGGATAAGATATCTGCAAATACATCTGATCTCAGTAAAATCTAAATAAGTTAACTACATCAAGCATGACCATGGTGACAAACGCTGCTTCCATGGGTAGCAGAACAAGTCTTCACTTGCAGTAATTGTTTTATAATTCATGAATATGCTTCAGAAAAACGCAACAGGTAGTTTAGTCTCCAAATGGGTAGAAAGCATTGGGAAGTTGCAGTTAAATCTTCAGCATCCGGTTATGCAAGAGCAAAAAGGCAATGAAAACGCTGGCAAGTAATGCACCAATGCAAACGGGATGAAGCGTGAACAGAGCTGATATCATCAATGCCGTAAGGCTAGGCTGGAGGAATAATGTTGAACATATGACACAAACACAATTGTGTAACCTGGCAGTTGAGCCTGGTGAAGCTTGTCTCTGCCATCTTTGAGGTCAAGACACAAGATACTACAATGAACTTCTCATGGAACAATGGGCAGAGGTACCTTCAAGTGGCTGCTGCAACAGAAGACTGAGCATGCATGGGAATGCCCAAGGTGCAAAGAAACTGACTGTGCTAACATTTCTTAATAAGTCACCTTTTACGAAATGCTAGTTAACAGGCAGTGGGTCTATCTCCACCCCCCCCCCCCTTTTCCACCCATGGGGCTCTGAAACCCACAATGGAATGTGCAATCATTAGGTACAGAGATTGTAGATATTTGTCTCTGCCACAATTAAGATGTATGGACAGAGAACTGCTGACATCAGCAAGGCCGAAAGAGAGGTTGTAGCAGAAATAATATAAACACAAAGGAGAATGGGAGAGGGAGGAATAAAGAGAAATTGTGGAAGGCGAGGAAGAGAAATGGTAAGCAACAGAGAGAATAAAAGACAGCAATAGACAGATAAAAATGGCATGGAGGGAGGCAGGAGATAGAGGGGCAGACAGAAATGGTAGAGGAAGACAGGAGGGGAGACACAGAAATGAACAGCAAGCAAAAGAGAGAGTGAGAGGCAGAGATAAAGACAGTAAGCAATGAAGACATCGACAGACAGATAAAGAAACTAAAAAACACAGAGACAAAAAGAGAAATGGAAAAAGAAGGTAACATAAATAAATTTGAACCTTGTAGCAAACTTTTATTTCAAACATAAATACCACGTAGTATTTATTCCAGAAATAGTAGTATTTATTCCAGAAATAGTAGTATTTATTCCAGAAATCAAGATGGGAAATATTTCCTCACCAAACGGTACCCCTCCCAGGTCGACCAGCCTTGAGTGGGTACCGGGTGCAGACACGGGAAGTAAAGGCGGCCGGTGTGATGCTGACCACATCAGCCATCTTGTGCCGATTGGTCTATAAAATATATGTCTAGCCCTATATGCCATATACGCCTATTGGCGTGGAAAAGGGTACTTTACTCGTTTTTTTACTTTTAAAACGGTACCCCAAGGAAGACTCTTCATCAAAAGCTGTCGGTAAACAGCTCTTAAATAAAGTTGTTAATGTTGTTCTCAGTTAATTATGCAAGTCGATTAATGGCTTTTTATCAACTTTCCTACAAGCTTACTCACACAGTGCACACAAACATATAAAACAAAACAAGCACAGGAGAATCATTACTCTTGATGCAAGAAAATACAAATGCAACCTTGCAAGAAAAGCACAGAAGACAACGGACACAAAAGATGTGACGAATCTACACTACAAGACAGCGAGGTTAGCAGGAAAACTAGCCAACTGAATGAATTTACAAATTGTTTACGTGGGGATTGGGGGGGGGGGGGGGAACAGAACAAAGAAATACAATATGCTCAATTAGCTATAAGCAACTGAATCGTAACAGAGTGCTAAAATAAGAGTATCTGCAAATGTAAAGGACATAACAAAGAAGGTAACTAAAAATGAGAGTTTATATTGATAAGACACACAAATAACGAAGCAGTTCTCCCAGAAACGAAAATTGTAATCTGATTAAAGAAATTATTCTCAGACAGTCTGGTAATCTGGCTAAAACTGTGGGCATTGGAGACATTTTAAACTCAGACACTTTGTGACAACTGACAAACTTGACCGGGGGGGGGGGGGGGAGCAAGAGTTAGGCAAACGAAGTATCTTGATGGCTCGGTGACATGGCTTGGATGATACAAGAGCACTGACCCGATCCCTGATTCAGGTGATCATGTGGGGAGGGAAACAATGACCATTTGAGATCATCCGCATAGCCCATGATGATTTAATGAGATCGCTGAGCAGAAAGAACAGTAAACAATATGTGGTCCCAGCAGAGAGTCCTGAAGATCAGGAAAGTACTATCCAGTCTATTAAGTCACGGACAGAATGAAACGACCAGATAAAATTACTTAGAAAGTCAGGCAAAGAACTTCCAATAGACCGCAGTAAATTGGAGGAGTGTCTGGTATGGCCTAGCGTTTCGATGAAAGTAAACATACAGAACAAAAACTGAGTTCAGACCTGTAATCAAATACTGATAACAGTGGGATCGCCCTGTTTACAGAGCAGTTTTACGACTTGTTTAACATATCAATGTATCGTAGGCGTGTCAATTCACACATGCATACTTTTATCGGCGATCACATATATTTAAACATCTATTCCCGATTGCGCACTGCCATCTATTCAATACATGCACACTGTGTATGTTAAAACTGCTGTCACCGGTCACACATAAACACGTGTACATGTATCCCAAATTGTGTTCTTATCACTCACACAGTTAAAACAGTTTATACACACACACACACACATGTAATTTAATCTTTCTCTCCATCCCCCTCTTTCTATCTCACACATAAACACACACACACACTCATGCACATACAAACACCAACACATAAAACATATACAAGTGCATACACATATATTTACATTTCTAAACCCTTATTATATGCATTCAACAAGCACAACAGACAAATGTACTGAGCTTATAGTGCTAGCTGCGATTGTTTGCTTACAGACCAGTTGGCACTATACCACACAGGTCGCCTTTACTTACCAGAACAATTCCTAGAACCCATTTTAGGCTGGGTAGTAAACGGGTCGACATTCACATGAATTCCATAATTATACACACAATAAACTTACACATGTATGTACGTAAACACGGTGCTGAAAAGGGTTTTTCCAGACAGGGAAGTGAGAATACCCCAGGTTGTCATCATAGTTAAAAATAGACTTGCCGCCGCCAAGTGCGGTATCACTATTACTGCGCGTAACCTAGTCTAAAGTTAACCTCTAAACTACTACCTTATAAAACAGTATAAATCTAATTTCAGCGCAGGAGCATTTCTGAAAGCAGTTTGGGTTCTTTTCTGTTTAGCGACCATATCACGCGTGATTTAGGGAACACCCATTTATAGGGAGGTTAGGTTTTGTGTTAAATAAATGGCGACTACTAATAACCCTAAATCACGCATGTTGTGGTCGCTAAACAGAAAAGAACCAGCAATTGTATGTGCAGGCGTGCAGTTTTTCCCTTCAAGGCAGCTATCTGAAAAGTCTGACACCATGAGATCAGAAGATCTGGATGGGAGACCAACAGAACTTAAAAGCTTTGACACCGTAAGACTGAATATGTCTCGGTGCTGGTGCCAGATCATCAGACCACATCAAACCCGTTCAGGCTTTAATACGGTTATGATTAGGAAGCCCGTAACTGCTACACCAGCCCTGTGTTACCTGCAGTTCTGTGTTACCTGCAGTCCAGTGTTACCTACAGTCCTGTGTTACCTGCAGTCCTGTGTTACCTGCAGTCCTGTGTTACCTTCAGTCCTGTTATACATGCAGTCCTGTGTTACCTGCAGTCCTGTGTTACCTGCAGTCCTGTGTTACCTACAGTCCTGTGTTACCTACAGTCCTGTTATACATGCAGTCCTGTGTTACCTGCAGTCCTGTGTTACCTGCAGTCCTGTGTTACCTACAGTCCTGTGTTACCTGCAGTCCTGTGTTACCTACAGTCCTGTGTTACCTACAGTCCTGTGTTACCTGCAGTCCTGTGTTACCTACAGTCCTGTGTTACCTGCAGTCCTGTGTTACCTACAGTCCTGTGTTACCTACAGTCCTGTGTTACCTACAGTCCTGTTATACATGCAGTCCTGTGTTACCTACAGTCCTGTGTTACCTGCAGTCCTGTGTTACCTGCAGTCCTGTGTTACCTACAGTCCTGTGTTACCTGCAGTCCTGTGTTACATGCAGTCCTGTGTTACCTACAGTCCTGTGTTACCTACAGTCCTGTTATACATGCAGTTCTGTGTTACCTACAGTCCTGTGTTACCTGCAGTCCTGTGTTACCTACAGTCCTGTGTTACCTACAGTCCTGTGTTACCTGCAGTCCTGTGTTACCTACAGTCCTGTTATACATGCAGTCCTGTGTTACCTGCAGTCCAGTGTTACCTGCAGTCCAGTGTTACCTGCAGTCCAGTGTTACCTGCAGTCCCGTGTTACCTGCAGTCCAGTGTTACATGCAGTCCCGTGTTACCTGCAGTCATGTGTCTACTGCAGTCCTGTGTTACCTGCAGTCATGTGTTTACTGCAGTCCTGTGTTACCTACAGTCCTGTGTTACCTACAGTCCTGTGTTACCTACAGTCCTGTGTTACCTACAGTCCTGTGTTACCTGCAGTCCTGTGTTACCTACAGTCCTGTGTTACCTACAGTCCTGTGTTACCTGCAGTCCTGTGTTACCTACAGTCCTGTGTTACCTACAGTCCTGTGTTACCTACAGTCCTGTGTTACCTACAGTCCTGTGTTACCTGCAGTCCTGTGTTACCTACAGTCCTGTGTTACCTACAGTCATGTGTTACCTACAGTCCTGTGTTACCTACAGTCCTGTGTTACTTGCAGTTCTGTGTTACCTGCAGTT